TCACACCAAGGATGGGAACAGTCATGGCGATAAGAAACCGGTAGCAAGCAACGGCAGTTAGTAGTAACAGAAGTAAGATTAGGGTGGTGAAGCGTACTACGAAATCACTTACTACACTTGAAGCATGGTACGGGGTGTTTAGTGCACAATGCGTTGTACATCGTATATTGTATACAACATAGTGTATACAGGTTTTTTCAATACTTTTGTACATACGTACACATATAGAATATAGTATATTTTCATTCAGTGGATCAGCATATACAGTGTATATAGAGACTTAGAGTATATAGAGTATAAAGAGTAAACAGAGTATATAGAATATACGGAGTATAAAGTGTACCGTACATAACAATATTTAGTACGGTAGAGTAGCCTGTAGTCACTAGCATCGCTCGGTTCAATGTAGCCTAGCTTAGTTCACTCTCGTATACACCATACTGGTTTGGCTGGGCAGGATATGGTATGGCACGCTATACCGTAGTATCGTGTCACATTGTACACTTTAACTCAGTATGGTACAGCATGTTATAGAATAGCATGGCATAGTTCATTATAGATTTTCATATTACAGTAGAGTGCCGTGTAGTGTAGTATGGTATAGTACAGTGTGGCCAAGTGTAGTTTAGCATAGCGTAGCGTAGCATATGGTATAGCGTAATGCCGTGTGGTACCGTACAATCACAATATCGTAACCAATCACAGCTAGTTGTTGAGATTGCTTTATTGCTGATCTTACTATCGCTGTTACGTTTGTGAATGTCAGTAGTTCCAGCTCAGCTTGCTGGTCACTGCGTGTTGCTTTGCTTCTATTGCCAGATAGATGCACTGATGTATGTGTGCATGAACTTTTTTCTCAGATAGATGCCCTGATAAATCTGTGCATGCAACATATCACTCTATAGTTCTCTCGACACTCAACGGTCAAAACACTCAACTTTCAATGTGTGCAGCGCTCCTCATGGTTGCGTTTGCTGCTTGGTCCGCGTCGCATGCGATGACCCTTCTTGGCTCAATGCAGGTGGACTGTAGGTGCGGCTGAGTTGCGATAAGACCACAGACCAGAGCTCGAATCGTTAAGATTTTCCACTCTGAGGTGATTTCTGATCCATTTCTGACTCCTAAAATTCTGTGGATATCCAGCTTCCCAGTCCATATACGTCCTTAGGGAGCAGAGCAGGGAGCCAGCGAGTAGGGACGGTTTAATCTTCGCAGTATTCCCCAGGATTTGCGGTTGGCGCCTGAAGGCCGCAGCCTTTCGGTGCTTTTTTTTCTTTTTTAGGGTTTTGGGTTTAGGGTTTTGGGTTTTGGGGTTTAGGGTTTAGGGTTGTGGGGTTTTGGGGTTTAGGACTTATAAAGCATAGATGTTGTTTGCAGCATCCAGCTTGCTACAACATATCATCGGTCTTTTGCTGGATAGGTTTCGAGAGGCTTGGCTAAAGAGGTTTTGGAATGTCCGCGTACATGGACCCTTAGGTCCTGACCTTTCGCTAGAAGCATGGGATAATCAACGGGGAGCTGCATGTAGATGTTTCTTGTTTGTGGAAGTGTTGCCTTTGTCGCTAGTACAAGCATCATGGATGCTAATCTTTCCGTAGTTCACTGCTTTTGTTGCCAGTACTAGCATGATTGTTGCTATTAGTTAAGTATTAGCTGCATGATGCATATTGTCGTCTCCCGTGATGTCTGGTCCTTGAAGTTCATGCTTCGAGGCCTGAATCTCGATACCTGAACAGATGAACCAATCTTCTTTGGAACAGAAATCATGGTAAATCCAGAAGTCTAAGGCTTGAAGAAATGGTTTAGGGCTTACGGTTAGGTACCAATTCCTACTTGTAGGTACAAGGGACTTTCCAGCTTCCAGTGTAGATCACGTCGAGGTCCACGTATTCCTCAAACCTCGAACCCTTCAACAACAACAACAACAACAACAACAATGCAGACCCAATGTTCATACCTTGGTACAAGGTCATTTGAGGCCCTATACAGGTATACGAGTGTGTGATGATTGGACTGCTTGTCTTGCGGACCACCCTAGCGTAGTTTCCAATAAATCCTGAACTTACAAACATACATATACTTATAAACACATGCCTCTACATATATATATATATATACACATATTTGTTAGTTTCTTCGTTCATTATACATATAGCAAAATATTATGTACCAGAGGTTTTTTAGTGAATATTCTGTTAATTCACAGGCTTGTTGTGTTGAGGTGGTCCTCAGGGTGATGACTCGGGGTTTAGGGTTGGCAGATTTTATACGAGGGGCTTAGATGGGGTTTCGGTCTGTAATGTTCCCGAAGGCGTCAGTTACCCAAATAGTGGGCTACTAGTCAGATACCTATAGTCTCCATTGTAGTTCCTTTTTGGGGTTATGTTCTCGAATCCTAAATATAAAGTTGGTTAAGCCAAAAACAGGCATCACAATGGAGACTGTAGGTAGTATGTACCCCAGTGACCCATTGTTTGAGTAACCGGAGCCCTACGGATTGTTTTGAATACCCACGCATTGGTCGAAGATGTTGGTGGCCTCGACCCTAACCAACCCAGAGGCAACACCCTAAACCGAAGACCCTGAGCCCCCAACCCCAAACCCTAAACCCTAAACCCTAAACCCCAAACCCTGAACCCTAAACCCTAAACCCCAAACGAATCCTAAACCCTAAACCCTAAACCCTAAACCCGAAACCCGCAACAGCACAGGCCGCATCAGCCTCGGCCGCGTCGGGTTCCCGGAAAGTTCGAAAGAAGGGAAGCCCAGGGTGCAGAGAACGGGCGGTCTGTAAGACTGGGATTTACAGCAGCCGGATAGAGGGTTTCGGGTGCAGCCGTCTAAGATGTAATATGGTGGTAGTGTAGGGTTGAGCGGTTGGAGTTCGATTTGGATCTGGGCATGTCTTGATGTGCTTTCGGGCAGCAGGGTTCCTTGCTGCCATCCATCAACCATCCCTCGAGACTTTTGAGCTGGTTGTCGGAGGCACCGCCAGAAGAGCGCTGATCCAGAACAACAGCACCCACGGTTTTTTGTTTAGGATGACAGTGTTGCCTTCTCGACCCATGCGCGAACATGCTGTCAAGTTGTGAGCCTGTCCGTACTACTCGGATGAGTGCCATGGTGCGGAAGAAGAAGCTGATTCCGACGGTGGCAATAGTGGAGATAACGACGAAGAAGACGGACATGATAATGACAATGACGATGCTGATGATTATGCTGGTGAAGGAGAAGACGATGACGATGATGATGATGAGGAGGAGGATGAGGCGGAGGCGGCGGCGGAGGCGGAGGCGGAGGAGGAGGAGGAGGAGGCCGAGGAGGAGGAGGAAGAGGAGGACGAGCCGGCGGCGGAGGAGGAGGAGGAGGTCGATGGCGCTGACGGTAACGATGACGATGATCATGATAGTGTGGCTGCTGTTGCTGTTGTTGGTCCCTTTACCTTCGGGCAGAACTGGAGATCCTTAATTTCGAGGCTGTGCTTCTTGCGGTGCTCTCCAACATCCCCGCTTCCCATGACACTGCGACCTTTATATCTACCAAGTATCCGTACTACAAATTAAAATTACGACTTGTCTGTCGGGCATCCCCGTGACATCTTTATACCAGCCAACTCCGAAACAAAAAAGCCTAAACCGCAACCAACTCAAGGTGAACTGTTTGCACATCGATTTTCCCAGCGTCGTGGCGGCCTCTGATCCGACATGAAGCGCCTTTGGGTTTGGAGTTTTGGGAGGGTTTCAAGTTTCAACAGACGGTTTGAACGCAGTCGCCGCACAGGTCTTGGATTTATGGTCAAGTTTGTAAAGGGAAGGGCGTTGAGGGTTTATCGAGGTAGCTGCCACCGCAGTAGAATCAGTATCGTCAGTATGCCGTGATATAGGAGCCTAAATAAGTATCTATACTATTTTGGGGGGCTCCTTAATAGAATAATTATAGCATGATATACCCTCCAAAACCCGACTTTAATTATTAAGGCCCCTACATGGCATGTTTGCAACTTCAGTTGGCTGCCTGGAAATTCTTCATCTCCTCCCCTGCACCGGAACCCGAAGCATCTAGGGTTCAGGGTTTCGGGATTTAGGGATTTAGGGTTTAGGGATTTAGGATTTGGGATTTAGGGTTTAGGGTAGGCCTTGTCTTGCTTGAAAGGAGGTTTATCAATCACGGGTCTATTTTTCCGGACCAAGCAGCTACTTCTGTCTCCGAAGCTCGAAACGAAAAGCCTTGAACCCTTATTGAACCCTAAAGCCTAAACCCATACACTCCGCAAACCTGTGATTTTTTGAGATCCTCAAGCTGAATTCGAGGCCGAAAGCCAAACAAAAACCCTAAAACCCTACAAAACTGCTTCAGGGTATGTAGGCTTTATAGGGACTACCACCCTAAGAATTGTTCTGAAACTTCTAAACCCTAGCCTGTTCTACTTATTAAGGCCCCTGTATGAAGCCCAAAGCTGCGACACCGACACTCCGATGGCTTCGCACCTCCCAAGAAGTTCCTTGACCCACTGACTCGGAAAGGGTCCTAGGGTTTAGGGTTTAGGGGGTTCGCGTAACATAGAGGCCTTATGAATTCGAGTAGGGTTTGGGGGGGTATAATATACTATAACCTTCTATAATAAGAAGCCACCCAAAATAGCATCGGTAATGATTTAGGCCCCCTACATTAGGGCCTAGGATGTGGGGTGCAGGGTGTAGGGTGTAGGACAGTTTGGGGTGGAGGTGTAGGGCTTAGAGCCACGAGGCTTTAGGATTTAGGGCCACCCTTCACTCTAAACCCTAACCCCTAAACCCCAAACCCCAAACCCTAAACCCTAAACCCTAAACCCTAAAACCCCTAAAACCCTGAACCCTAAACCGGTAACATTACTAAGTCATTCCTCTTTCTCCCCATTTATCGGCTCAAAGCCCCATCGACTCTGGGGACCTTACAGTGCCGCAGTGCCTCCGTGGGGGTGGGGGTGGCCGGGAGGGTGAGCCCAGCCACCCCTCAAGAAGATGACGTCCTCCATGGATACAATCGACGCCTGCTTGGAGTTTAGGGGAGGTTCGGGGTTTAGGGTTTAGGGTTTAGCTAAGGCTC